ATTGATTTAGACATTTAGAATAAAAATTTAATTATGTATAGATATTCCTAGCTACGAATTTATTGTATATATTAAATGTCATTGTTTTTCCTTAGTGTAATTTAATCAGATTATATCCTCCTAAATAAACAAAAAAAAATGTTATTGCCAAAAGCTTTGAGAGTCCGTGCCTAATGTTCTGTCCATTAATACCTACCGGATCAGAGTTTTATTGCCGTCGGCAAGTAACTTCCATAATTGCGGACAAAAGCCAGCACGATGAAGATTGAGACAGAATATACATCATCACAATTAGAACAAAACTGTTAAGAAGTATTACATTGAGAAAATACTGTATTGTTCCTTTGTCGGAAAGTTTTGTTTTTAAGAAAAACTGTGTTTCCTAGATACACTAATGAATTCTTGACGGTTACATCGTTTTCAGGTTCGTTCGTGAAAAGAAAAATATTTTCTAATGCATTCGATTGCGTTCAGAGCTTTTTTGAGCTGCTGATCTACTACAACCTCTTCTTCTGCGTCCTTATTATTGTCAGCGACATCATTACATCTTGGACAATTACATCATCACCACAAAGTTCCTGCGTTTCCAAATTTCTCCAATCGAAAACTGACTCGAAAATTTTAACTTATAAATTTCTTAGTTTTCAGAGCAATATCACTCTCCCCCGTATCTTAACGAAGAATTAGTTTTTCTCTCAAACAATTACTATTATTAAGATAAAATGTTTTGCTACATTAGCAACTTAACTTTCGTGTTTAACTACCTCCATCAATATTGAAATGTGAGGCCCACTTTCTCCGGCGTCACGGAATTATAATATGTTTGAAAACTTGACTGGCATGGATTTATTCAACAGCAGTCTGGGCTTATTTAATATATATCTGAAGGGCGAGTCTGTCGTTTCTTCCTAGTCTGGTCCAATTTCATGTCGATATTGAATCGTCTGTATTGTTAATGTTATCATTTTATCACTTCTTTAAATTTTAAGTGTGTTTAATTGTTTGTAAAACTGGTGTGTTAAAACATTGCCTTGTAATTGGAGAGAATCTCTCTGTTAGACAATAAAGCGTTATTATTTTTATTAAATCATACTTCCGTGTGTTCAAAATGTCACCGATCAAATATCAAAAGTTGTGAAAAAAAACGTAAAATCAAAACTAGATTCTCTACTTTTCCTAAAACCACTCAACATCTACGATAAGTTAAGGATAAAATTCTAAAGATAGCAGGTGTGTACAGTATTTTGTTCAGCTGTGGCAAAGAATACAGGAAGAGATCGAAAAACATGAACCAGGCTGAGAGAACACCAGAGATAAGCAACATCAGCACTTTCTTCAATCCAAGAATGGTTCAAGAGTCAACAACGGCGTCTATTTGAGTTTCGGTCATCCTGGAAGAAGTAATGTAGGGAGGTATAAGGTACAAGGTGCATGCAGACCAGTCGAAACCCAGTTTCAGACTGCGCTCTGAAGAAACTTGCATCATGGTTTGCAAAACAGATTCAATACCCACGCAGAAAAAATTCAGTTTGTACCTAAAAGTATAGACATATAGACGAGAAGATGAAAATGATCTGATTTAAGTTTAGTTCCAAAACTTAATAATTATTTATTAGTACGTTTTGTCTTCTGTAACCAGTAAAGCAATGGAGATGGTTGGTTCAGATTAGTTAAAAAATTACCTACTGAAATGAACTATTTGAATGAAAATTCAACTGATTTTAAAAAATCTGAATTTTTAAAGAACCAAGCACAGAACGACAACAAATTTTTCAAATAGAGAAAATTCAAGAATTGAATTGAAGATAAAATTTCAACAAGATATATTTCATCTAGAAAGTGGCAAAACCATTTTCCTAAAATACTTGAATCTGTTATATTTGATGAAATTTTTTTAAGTCAAATCGACCCTGGATGAAAGCCAATATGGCTTCTTTAAAAAAAGACCAGTACTTTGGCTCCTTATTTACAAAAATATTTGACAATTTGGAAGAGTGGTCGGAGACCCGCGCTGTGCACGCCGACTTTGCTGTGTATGGGTCTTTGGCTTTATTAATAACTATTTAAGTGGTAGAACTGATTACCTCGGGTATTCATTAGAGATCACATTTACGTCTTGCTCTTTAGTATATTTCTGTTCGATATTGGTGAATGCTTTTTACATGCAATGGATTGTTCTACTATTTACAAATCTCCTGGGTCCCTTCTTGTTTGTTGATAAAATAAATCGAACATGCTGTTTAAGGGGGGGCGGAGCTAAAGGTGGGTCACGAACTTTGTCTCGGATGACTGATTCCAAAATTGGTGAAAGGTAAAGACCTGGGTCGAGGTTAACATTGTTTGGTTTCTCGTTTTCTATGGATTCTTGGATTTTTTTTTTGGTAGAAGAATTGATTACATTCAAAAATTCTAGTTTTGTCTAATAAAATTTGATGTCTGCTTTCGCAACTGCTGATGAGTAAATTTGTTTTTGTTTTAAGGCTCGTTCATTCCTGGTGATATTCTTCGTCCAGTCTCTCCAATGTATTTTTTTTTCGCATATGCATGGAATGCTGGAAACTCCTGGTATCTCACTACCGTAATTTTGTCTTTAACATATTATATGTGTCAAAGTGTGAATTGCATTCTACACTTTGGACCCTAAAATACGCCAAATATGTTGAAAAGGTGCAAGGAAGATTTGTACATGCTGAAAATTGCAGATATAATAGGTATAGGCATTTTCTTACTTGTAACACACTTTTGAATACTTTGACGTTTGCTTTGTCTATAAAAATTGTAAATCATTTAATGGGATCACCAATACGTGTCTTACAGCAATTTAAAGCTTGTCCCTATACATAATATGTGTAAGAAACACTTTTGTTCAACCAAGGATTTTTACTAGCTGAACACCATTACATCAACACCTATTACTACTTGCAAAAGTAGAGTCACTACACTTTTTTGGTATATCCTTGAATAAATTTAAAATTAATATTTAACCTTTTCTTCGTAATGAAGAAGTGTTTTGGTTCATTTGTGTTATCCTGTATTTATCCAAAATTTATATAAATTCTCGTTTAATTCGTTAAATACCAGGAATGACGATTTCAGTGATCGGAAACAAATTAATTTGATTGCATCTCTCAACTCCATGTTTATTAACTGGCCTATTTTCCGCTATGTTGTCCTTAAATCCTTCTGTGAAAATGATGGTGACAACAATAACTGTTAATTCAGTGAAACTGCAGTAAACTATCCGTTAAAGAATTCGGCGCTAAAACCACCTACGTAAAGTTTATCATTTCCGTTGAAATTAATTATTCTCCAGAACAGTAATCGGGCTATTAATAAAATTGACGAACGAATGATAAAAAGGCAAAGTGATTGGATTTCGGTAAAAATCTTTAAACACTTTCAGTCGGGATCGCAAGGACATTAAGGGAAACGATTTTTCCCTTCCGACTAAGACGTGACTCCGGGAACAGCTTGGCAGAAAAAGACATTTATCTAATCTCCGAGTTCATGAAAGTCCTAGTCAGGGAAACTGTTAGCGCAATTGGGAGCCGGAAATATTAAGATATAAAAGTGGAAAAACGTGCACTTCTTAATGATATAAAGGATCTTCATGAAATTCCTTGCTAACAGACATTTCAATTCCTCGCAGACGCGATTCCCACTGAAGTTAAAATGTTTTCTAATTTTAAGTTAGGTTAATTTTTTCACTTACATGGTGCGCATACTACCCGTTTTAATAATGTAACGTTTTTATAGCAACATTTAAATAATTGGTGGGGGGCATTTCGAAACAAAATGTTGAGATAAACAAAATAACAACCACCACCTGACGGTCAAATGTTTTTACTTATTACTCTATTAAAGTCAGAATTTGCATAAAAAATGGGAAATTAATAAAATTACAAAAAAAACAATTTACAATAACAAGCAACAGAAACATTTTTCTAAGAATAGCCTTGTAATTGGTTGAAGTTTTGAAGCGCATGCGCCTGGTTAAGAACAATCAAATTATGAGTTGTGAACTTGTAATTACCAAATTTATTTTTCAGCTCAATGTAAACTTGAACACTTGTTAACAATGTACATCTAGGAGTATCCCAACGTTCGTTTCATTTAATTTTTACTTTTGGTTAACCGGCTACTTGCTACTTCATCACGTTAAAATGTCATATGTATAATGCGGTAGGAAACCTGACCTGATATATGTATGTAGAAATTACCCTTATCGTCGACAATTAAGTGGTTAATATCAAAATTTACTTTTTTTTAATCAGCCGCAAAATTCGTAAGGTTAATTCTTGCAGTTATTGATTGTTTCCAATTTATTAATTGTCGTTCTTTCGAGTTCTGCATTTAATGTTAATGAAATAAATAACTTTTAAACTTTTAACTTTTAACATGATTTCAGGCTACTCATAACCACTTGACTGCTTTTTTGTGCGAAATGAATGTTATATTAAGTCTTTCCAGAAGATACTTCCATATCTAAAGTTTTTTAGCAGAAAACAGTATAAATCGAGTTTGTTGGAAATACAATCTAGGGTGTCTACCCCAGGCTAGTTTTTGGTCAATAAACTTGGTTGGTTAGTTCAATCATCAATATCATTATTTAACTTTATTTGGTTTGTCTTACTTCTTTTTAGCTTGTCTTTTGATATTCCAACAACTATACTGTGGTTATCGTCTGCAAAATGTACTAAAAGGCTCGGACATGAATCGTGGTACAATATGCGTTAAAAAGGGTTGATAAAATATAGTGTTCAAACAAACAGGAAGGAAGATGTCTATACGAAAACTCTAGAAATGCAAAAGTTTCGCGCATAGCGATTGCCACGAACTTTGACAGCTTTTGAAAGATATCGCGTGAGACACCTATGAGGATAATCGAAGGATAACGGTACGCGCGCTGCGCCAACTGTCGGCAGATTCTGGAATCGTGAAAAACAGTTGCGACGTCACACCACAGTCGCTGTTTAACCCCCGAGCTCCGTGTCTACCGGAATTTTCCTGCGGTTTCCGCGATATCTCTGTCGGAAAATTGTCGGACAGGTTATATATTTATATATATATTTAGGTTATGAGAATTTTGTGAGTAAATAATTTTAGGTAGATAATTTGTAATATTTTATGTAGTTTTCGTGCCACAGATATTAAACATTCTTAGTGCAAGATTATAGTTACTAATTGTGAACCCCTGGCAGTGAAAACTTTGGATAAAACTTGACTTGACTTAAAGTGAGTTCTGGGATTAACTTTGCGGGTGAGTGAACCATCGCAATTACAAATTTACGTATTTTTAAGTATTATTATATAGTTTGCAATTTGTATTTGACAATTTGTATTTTAATATTCAATTAAATAAAAATTAAATCTTCTAAAATGCACGTATCCTATTGGGATAATAGACGATATTATGATGTTTAGTGTCTGTTGTCGGACAACGGACATGGAAATGAATTCTGAAATATTCAATAATAAGTAATAAGCAGAATGAATCAGTTTTAAATTTCAACCTTCGCTGAAATTATCTTTAAAACTACTTACCATCGCCATAAATAAATTAATATGAATATTAATTAATGAGCAACATAGTTAAAAGGGAACTAATAATAATTTAAAGGTCTCTTGATATAATAAATAAATAACATAAATGACTGTTATTTAGAAATATATTTCAATTGTCCAGAATCTTAGGTAAATTTTGTTTATATTATATAAAATAACGTTGCTGTACTAACACACTTTTTTTTATAAAATCATGAAATTTAAATGTTGGTAACGTAATCCTTATATATATAAATCCAAAAATTAAAGCAACATATACACTCAAAAGAATAGAAAAAGTATGAGGAAGGGAGTGTAATGAAAAATCACTTTTCGTGTGTGTCACTTTACGAGGTCAGCTTGGTTAACAATTGTCATTTCGGACGGTTTCGGTACTTTGGCCACTGATTTGGGGGAGATCGGATCGTTTTCGGTAAATTTTAGTCACTGATTGCATCTTGACGTTCGTCAGTTCTAATGATTACTCCACACCTCAAGTGTTGTAGTTCAAAAATATACCTAAAAACAACACAACACAACACAACACAACACATTGATAAACTTTTTCAGTCACTCGTTTATTTCCGTGAAGTGACGTTTTATTAAACTTGTTGTATACTGTACTAGATATAATTAAATCTTGTATTTTCGAATTGGAGAGACAACAAAACTAAAAATTTAATTCTGATTCCTTAAAAAGAAAACACCTACATTTTAAAAATCTTAAAAGGTGTTTTTTTAATTCCATTTTTTTTCGAACTCGAAAAATAAAATTCCGAAAAGCGAGCTTGTTAAAAGCGGACGACAACCATTGTCGCACAAGCGGGGCTTAAAATTCGCATAAAGTTCATTATTCTTTGGGAAGTGAAAGAAACGAATTCATAACCAGCCATCTCACTTACAGAACGACGCCGCCTAAAATTTATGTGCATTTAAATACATTTAAACACTTCTGTGATTGAGGCATTATATATGGCACTAGGACATTTGCATTTTAAATAATTCAGCAATATTTTGTCATTTGCATATTGCCGCAGTCGAATTAAGTAAACGACCAGATAATTTTTCAGGATTTGTTCTATTTCTCCCCGTTCACTGAATCGCTTAACATCACTTGATGACATAAAAAAAAATTGAGTATTTATAAGAGAAATTTCTCAAATGAAAATTATGACGTGTGGGAAGTTAGCAACGAATTTCCAGCCACAAATTGGGGACATTGGCGTTTGCACCAATATTTTTATTAAAACTGAAAGTTGCATATTAAATAACAATATTTGGGAGAGTCATGCTGGATACTTTTAAAAATTACGCCTCACGAACGGAATCCCGAACAGCAAACTATCGTAATGAGAAAAGAAGACGAATTTTTAAAAAATGAAAAATTTATGTAAAAATTGGCGTTGGTGGTGGGGACAGTTGGATAGCTGCCTTCAGAACTTTATAGCTGCCGTCAAAGGTATCATAAAGATTTTTTTTTCTGAGTAATAGCAAAAGAAGAAAATTTTTTGAAAAAATCAAAAACATATGTAAAAAACGGGGACAGAAAGGACATTTTAAATGCGAACTTCCGGAAGCAGAAGATTCCTTTACAAGGTTACTTACAAGTGAAGCTAATAACAGCGTGATAAAAAATAGTCGATGGTAAGTGTTATAATAAACAATTAATTCAATATTTAAATTTTACCTGCCAGAACTTTTTTACATATTATAGGACACAATATTCATTACAGAGATGAGTTGGTATAATACAACTAACATCTATGCTATAACTAAATCGATGCTTTTGCATAGGTTGAGATTTATCAGAGTTGGATTAATTTATTTAATAAAATATGAAATAAGTGTCATGCGACTATGCGAATTTCACTTTTTTTAGTTCTTTTTCTCAATAGAAAATGTTTTGAATATATAGAAAATATCTTTCAGGTAGGCATACGCTTTTGGGTCAATGCCGGCCATATGCCATGTATTTTAGTTAAAAAAAAAATGTCTTCTCAGCTTAATTCTAAAAACGCATTTGACGACTTGACTTGTCATTGGCGACAGCTAGGAAATGTGAGGCTTAGCTCTTAATAGTCTCCCGGATGACCATCCCAAAGTTGGTTATTTAATAAGCTTTTTTTTTTGGAAATTTTTAGATTTTTTTAAAATATTGGTGCAAACGCCAATTTCCCTAATTCGTTGCCAACTTCACACAAGTAAAATTATTTACATAGTACATATGCATGTAATGCAAATGTAAACATAAAAATTAGGTGAACAGGTCTTCACCGGTACACCCAATGTTTTCCGTAAACACTGGAATGCCAGTTTCGGTGTCATAGTGCAAATCTTTTATACAGGGTGCTTCAGCAAGGCCTGCGGAAAAAATGAACGGTAAAAGATATTAAAAATATCTTTTAATCAAAGTTTTGGATATTTGGATATTGCTTCTAAAGTTTTTACTATTACTTCTTTCAAAAATTGAAATGAAATGAAATTATATATTTTCACATGACAATTGATTGATTTGATAAAGACATGGTGTTGTCGAAGCAATTGTCATGTGAAAATATATAATTTCATGAAAATCTGAACTTTTAGTTCTTATTTATTTATTTTTTTGCTATTACTTTATTCCTCTTACCTATTTCGATGTACTGTTATTTATGTATTGCTTTTCTTTATGCCTATTTTTCTTTTGATTTTCGTGAATGAAGGCGATATCATTATTATCATTATTAAAGCATTTCAATTAAAATAGTAAAATAGAGCCGTTAACTTAATTCTTTTTATACATGAATTATATCATGGAGTTATATTAAACGCTCAATTAAACGTTTATGTTGGCAACACATAATGGATAGTGTGTGAAGAATTACATTTTGGAACACTATAGCGTTACTAGCAGCTCTGTGTGCACATTCTCCAGTCGTAGACTTTTTGCTAAGCGAAATGTTCCACTAGTCTACTCGGATAACCGGCATCGAGAACAATAAATCCGCTTTAATTTCCTGGTGCTTTCCTTGTCCCGATACCTGATTAAACTAAATCTTCGAAGTGTGGTCAGTACTTTCACGTAATATAAATTACTTACATATTCTATGGCATAATAATTCAATTAAATTATATAATTTATGAGCGTTAAATAATTATCAGTGAAGGATTTTATTATGCTTTACATAGTAATTAATCCTAGAAAGTATATTTTTTTGAAGTGATATTTAAAAGCTCTTTTTTTCTTTTCTTGACCTTCTGTTCCTTGTTCAGGCTTGGCGCTGCTTTCAGATGTTACGATCCATTACGCCCCCACATCTTCCCTTTGTCTCCTAAAAGAGCACTATACTACAGTACCTTATAGGAAGGGAAAAATGTTGAATGATGACAACAGATCTGAAGCAAGACTTCAGAGGTGAATCTGGTCATCTGATTAGCAAATCAACTAAGCAAAACTGAATGATTCTATCAAAGAAAATAAGGAGAAACTCAGACGTGGATGTCCTGTTTCATTGGAATAACCTTCCTGTTCGAAAGCATATTTCGGTGGACGTATTTTTTAATATCCTCCAGTATCCCCTTCGTTGGATTAATTTGATTTTAATGAGATTCTGTTGATTGATTTGAACGAATGGTTTTAGAGCACGGGATAAAACACTTTTCTGATTTTCGCAATCGTTATACCAAGTGTGACAACATTCGAGTTGACTGTGTTGAAATATAAAAAAAAAACACTTTTATAAGACTTTTTATATTACATCATATATAACAAAATCTTAACTGTCCATAGATAAATAGATAATCTTAATAAATGTTAACTGTGAATAGTTCAATAAACCACAAATTTTACTTGCCCTTTATCTATGTCAAAATTCCTCGTTCATAATAGTCTATATTTTCATTTAATATTACTTACCGAAAAGAGCATGAATGGTTTAATCAACAATTACCGTTATACATGATTGCCCACACCATGTCCCGACGGTTTTCACAAAAGTCCTATCTGCTCTAACGGTGATTTAATATGATTTTCATGTGTGAAATGCATTCCAAATTACATTTTGCCGGGTGTATTAGCCGAATTTCAGTTATAAGTGAAATTTTCCACATGTTGAGTGCGTCTGGTTGGCATCTAAATTAAAATTAATTTCGAGTCACACGCAGAACAATTTGACCGGAAACATTTTACTACATCCGAGATCTGACAATTTACAGTTTGTTCGTAACTTTGAACTCTGAACTTCCTGCTACACCCGTACGTAGCTGCCAAATTAAGCAAAACTATCACAATATATCAATTTCACAGCCTTGAGGATACACAATACTTTCTTACCCGAATCTTTCATTATTATATAATATTTAGTAACTTCATAATACATTAAACTGGTATTTTATATTTTCCGTCATATATTATTAATGCAAAAGTTGCGCTCCTGCGCTTGTGGGTACCTAGACAGTATCAGTAGGTATTTATTCTGAGCTATTTAGTACTAAGAAACAATAGGCCCAGTTTTTGCTCTAACATTGCATGATGCATTGAATGATCTTCAGAATTAAAAATGTTGAGCAAAAATACCCCTTGAAAGCGTTTTTTTGGTTCCTATTATTATATTGGCGTAAGTTCTGCTAATTTTTTAAATATTTAGGCAGCCTGGTCCTTGCTTAATCGAACCATTGGTTATTTCTTACCATGGTCTGCTTGCTTGCTGGTCTGAGCTTCAGCAGGTACATATACTG